TTCCAATCGATAACTTCCAGAGATCCACCAAGGCCCAAGAAAAACACCAAATCAGATGGGATCTTGGAAGAATACTTTTTTGGGATAAGCCTCCACAACCAAGAATCCACAGAAAAAATGGGCACTCTTAAGAATCAATAGCCTCATAATCTTCATTCTTTTTTTTTTTTTTTTTTTTTTTTTTTTTTTTTTTTTTTTTTTTTTTTTTTTTTTCTCTTAGCTTGCGCAAGATCTAAAAATCCTCCTACACATAATCAAAATCCAATCTTTTCCCTTCTTTTCCTATAAATTTACAAAAGCCTTCAAATACTGCAATTTTTTTCTACTCAAATGATTTATATCAGATGCTCTGTTTTGTTGGGTCTGGGGCTTGCGTAATTCGATTTTTTTCAGTGTTTTTTTTAAACAAGTTGCCCTTTTTTTTGTTTTTTTTTTTCTGTAACCCGTGGCACAAGCCCATCGACAGTATATCTTGCGTGTATATGTAGTATATGTGAAGTGTATGTGCAGTATATGTTTCGGATGAAAAACTTCTCAGAAACATAATTGCTATATATATTTCTCGTATATAGAGTATATATATAGTATATGTTTTGCATATTTAGAATATTTATTTTATATAAGGAATATAAGTAATCTGTGTAGATAGAGTATATGTATAGTATATGTTTTGTATATTTAGAATTTTTTTTTTATATAAGGAATATAAGTAATCTGTAATAATATGTTTTTTTTTCATTTCAACATATGCTGAATATATACTAACATAAACGCAATATATATCGGCTGCGTGAATTACAGAATTCCAGTTGTGCATATATACTGAATATATACTAACATAAACTCAATATATACCACCTCAGAAACATAAACGGCTGCGTGAATTACAAAATTCCAGCTACCACATTTACTGAATATATACTAATATAAACTTAATATATACCACTTAAGAGCTCTATTAAATGATCTGCGTGAATTAAGGGGATAAATGTGAATTAAGGAGATAAATAGGATATGGTAACTTTAGGCATTAATGAAAATAAATAATGTCTTTTAGGTAGAGACATAATTATTTCTATTTGTATGGTAAAATTGCAATTAGTTTAAAATCAAGTAGCAGAGATGAAAATTTCCCTATTTCAAAATGCTTTCGGCAAAAAAAGTAGTTGACGTGGGCCCAGCAGATGGCCAAGCACCGGCCCATTAATGTGTTTTTCCACCAATTCATAACCCTGTATGGTACTGATGCAATCTTGAACTACACTCTCTACAATTGCATTTATTTCTAGCCAATAAAAAGAGGGTGACAGATGCTGACCTTTGTAGAATTTCATTCTCTAATTTTGTCCCAACATATATGTATTATTTGGGTGTTATGTGAATATCAAGAATATGGTTTAAAAAAAAAAAATACAAAATTAAATTGAGACATATAATAGTTACGTTCTTCTTAGAACAAAATTGTCTTTGTTAACAACGAACGCATCTATGATGTAGGAAAATCCATTATAAAACTATAGTTTGATCCGATTTTGACTAAATTTTGTATAGCTAAATATTTAATTCGAGATGAATTAAATTGTACAAAAAAAACAAACTATGTTCCGAGTAGATTGTTGATATCCGAATCGAGTCGTGAAGGCTCACAGATCAAGAATGATGATTCGGCCAAAGACGATCCGGATATGGGATCGACATTCAAATATCAAGAGGTCTGACTCAAGAAGTCCGGAATGAAAGATAAAGTTGTTTAGAATATCGCAGAGGGTAGATCCCCAAGACGGCACTAGAGGACCCAGGAAACGAGGTCGATTCCATAAACGCCAAACTGGGAAAGGAGAACTCGAAGACACGTAACAACGTGTAGCCCAAGTCACAGTGGGAGTCCGACCTGCAGATTCGTCCAGACCGGCCTTGGCATGCGCGTAGGGCCTAAAAATTATGTAATATTGTCACTTGTCTGGTGATGATTGTTGATGGACGCGTCACCCTAGATTGCAACCCTAGTACACCTAGATCGGTAGGACGGTCTGTCAGCATTAAATGCTCTGTTTGTGTGCATTGTATGTATGACATGTAATAATTGAGAAAACCTCAGACCTCATTTAATGCTTGTCAGAGCAACGTCAGCCTGTACGAAGTGACATGGTGAACAATGAATGAACACTGTCAGACTAAAGTTACTATAAATAAGAACTCACTCTCATTTATTAAGGGTTGTTGATTCCTCCACCAACTTTCTTTTCTCTCTCTCTCTCTACATTTGTTCTGTAAAAAGTCTGTAATTATCCCAAGTGTAACAAAAAAGCCGACATCGATATCAAAGGCCAATCTTGTAATTAAAGTAATAAAGTTAATTTTTTTCATAAATCTCCATCCCTTCTCATACTTACCTATCAAGAATCTTTACTAAATAATTATTTAACCGTTTGATCGATTCTAATCATCAACATAGATCGCGCGGTATATTTATTTTTTCAAAATTGACTTTTGGTGAGTGAGAAATAAATGATTAAAGTTATGCATAAATGGGCACCTAAAACGATGTTTGTGGGATTCGAATGGTCAAAAATCTTTTTCACATTAGACTCTTAAATGAGATTAACTCTTTTTATTATAATAAAGAAAGTTACAGAGGTCACAACAATAAAAAATGATGCACCAAGTGT